AGGCAATATATATATATATATATATATATATATATATATATATATATATAAAATATATAAAGGATGTGTATCTTTTTGAAGATAATTAACGATTAAAATAATTGCAGAAAAATCACAATATGTGAAGAAAGAAAATAGAAATGTAAAAGAGGTGAATGTATGGATTGGAGCAATGTTGCAAATATTTTTCTCCTTATTTTCTTCTAAAATATGTTACACTTAAACTTATTGTACTTACACTTCAAACTTTGTTTTTGCAGACCAGTAATTTTTCCACTGTGAAAGAATGGCCTAGGAGTCGGAAAGTGGTATGTGAATTTAATTTATCTTGCCCGAAGAGATATCCCAACCTTATCCAATTCCTCGTCTGTCAGAAACAACTTTGTGTTCCTTCAAACTGCATGTGTTAGTAAGTTAGGACAGATTACTGTTTTATTTATATTTCGAATATATGACAATGTTATATAATATATGACAGCGACATTATATAAACTATATAGCGTAAGAAAGTAATATCTCTAATATTTTTAATTACAGTTATTAACATGCTTAGGAGTGACTGCCGGAGGCATAAGTGCCTTCATCTATGCTCTAGATAGCTCGGCAAGAGCTATTGACTTGATAGCTCATCCTCCGACGTACAAATGGGATTTTTATGGATGGTTCAATTCGCTAGATCATGCTAGGTACAATACTTTAGTATTCAAATATCAATCGACTATACAAATGTGTTATTAACCTATATTTTGCAGTATGCGACGAGGCTGGGATGTCTACAAGAACGTGTGTGCAGCTTGTCACAGTTTGCAATATGTGGCATACCGTCACCTCGTTAATGTTACTCACACCGAAGCGGAAGCCAAAGCTCTCGCGGAAGAAGTCATGGTACATTTTACAATATTAACTATGAAAAACGTCTCTTATAATTTTATAGAATATAAGACTTAATAATATAACTGACTTTTACGATACAGGTAGAAGATGGCCCTGACGACACGGGAGAATTCTTCAAACGTCCAGGAAAACTGTTTGATTACGTGCCATCTCCATATCCAAATGAAGAAGCTGCTAGAGCAGCGAACAACGGTGCTTATCCACCTGATCTGTCTTACATGCTTAACGCCAGGCACGATGGAGAGGTAAGTCAATTTTGAGTAACGTATAGGAAGAGAATATGAGTGGAATTAAAAATTAAATCTATTAATTTACAATTAATTTCCATTTTTTTAAATTTTGCTGTAGAAATATTTTTATTATTGCCACAACTTGCATTTAATTAAAAATATATTTTATATATATTTCAGAACTACGTTTTCGCTTTACTGACTGGATATTGTGATCCACCAGCCGGTATAAATTTAAGAGAAGGACAATATTTCAATCCATATTTTGCAGGTGGTGCCATTGGTATGGCACAGGTGAGTTATTCACATTGTTTTAAATTGAAGATGTTACAATTAGCGATATATTGAATTTTGCACCCATTAATGATAATAAAAATAATAATTTTACTCCGTCATGTACAGGCTATTTATAACGAAGTCTTAGAATATGAAGATGGTACTCCAGCAACTGCTTCTCAAGTAGCAAAAGACATTACCACATTCCTAATGTGGACTGCCAATCACGAATTTGACGACCGAAAAAGAATGACTATTAAGGTGAAGTAAACATCTCTAAAGTCCATTTTACTTTGGTTCATCTTATCGTATAATTATTTCAATATAAATTATTTACAGGCTATTGGAATATTTTCAATTCTCACTGCTGCTGCATACTACTTCAAGCGACACAAGTGGACAACCTTAAAGAGTACAAAATTAATGTTTGTCCCTAAAAAATACCCTAAAAATTAGCAAATGAAAATTAACGCCGTGATGTTAGCTGTTGCGCTGGTATCGGAATGTAGTTTCGCAATTTAAGCAATGTATTTCCGGCAATGTGGCTCCTTTCTGAAGGTTCAAACTTATTCATATAGCATTTGACAAAGTGTCAATTTGTCATCATTACCAAAATCTATTAAATTAAACATTGTACATAGCTATACCGAATGGAGTCATCGTCTGATTTAAATAAAATTGTTAAACATAAACAAGGTTCACTCCTTTGATGAGACGCACAATGATTTATTCGCAATTTTAAGCGACTCGTAAGATATGTCGAATATTTACGGACATTTTCAAGATGAAAGGATATTTTAAGCTAGATAAAAGGATATTTGGCTAAATATATTATTATATGTATCTTTGGTAAGTTTTCATTATGCGATTTTGTATTCCAATATTTTTTACAAATTATTTCAATTTAAAGTTTTTGTTCAATCCATTTTTTAAGATTAATATACGAGGAGAAACGTCTGCAAAAGTCTTAATACGAATGACGAAGTCGTTTGGTTTTAATAAGCAACAATTTATTCAAAGCTAAAAAAAAGGCCGCTAACATGTGTAGGTAAGAAACAGAAGGAACGCTCACTTCTAAGGAAATCACTTTATTCTCCTTAAGCTTGTTTTCGTCCACATGGAGCTATAACTTGTTACTCTTTTAATAGGATGATTTAAATTACACTATTATATTACCGATAGTGTAATACTGAAATGCAAAGCGGACAAAGAGGTATATATATCTTTCGTTCGGATAATCAGAAAAATTTTACATTACACAATCAAATGTAGAGATATTTCAAAATCTACTTTTGGTGGAACTTTAGGTATAAAGATCCTTTCGATTAATTAGATAACATAAATCTTGAGATGACGTTGTAATAACGATTATTTTTTTGCTGGAACATATCATTTATCATCAATAAGCTGCATATAATTCGATTTTCAGCAATATACTATTTACATGGACTACAATGTAAATAGTCGTGATTGCACTAAAGATGCATTCGATTTTTTTAACAATATGCAGCTTCTGTACTTTACACAGTGTGTTAGGAATTAGATATGATTTTGATAATTATATAACAAAAATAATATTCACACAATACATCAATCATGAAGCCCTTGTGTCAAACAGTAAGCACTATCATACTCTATAATTCTATCGCATTTTAATAGACGTAACCCCAAATATACATGAAAAATTGGTAAACTTTCAATATGTTCTAATATGATATCGACTAAAAGATCTCATTATTCAGCGACGCTTCATACATTGATGTACTTTGCCATGCAGCATTGTATCATTATTCACTATATATACGAGATATTACAAATCAAATTGTCATTTATGCATGCTTCGATTACAAAGCGACATCTCCTCATCAATTACGAAACGTGGTTCGTTTAGCGTGAAAGAGAGAGAGGCCGTTTTTTTAAGGATATAATTTCTCAAACACGTACGTTATTTCATTGTAGATCGCTAGTTGAAACAGTGTACGCAGCACGGAAAAGTAAAATGGACGTACAGATTTATGGTCCAGAATTTACAAATTTTCTACCGTAGCGTTGAGTGAGAGAGAGAGAGACACCTCTGCAAGAGATGAAATGGCACTTGCGCGCAAACAGAAGAGAAATCTTAAAATGGTTCGCAATACCAGACATTACTCTTCTTCTCTCATTAAAAAACTTCAAAGGCATAAGTTATTCTTACTGATTATTCGTTTTTATTACATGGTCTGTGTCTCCAGTTTTATGATTCAAAATATGATTTTTCCGCTTTACATTGTACTAGCTTGAAAAGCTGGAGCGGCGTTTCCTTCAACCAATTCGCATTCGCATCGAATTGCAATCTCGTGCGCGAACATGATATATATGCAATGAAATAATCGGGGGTTCCGGAAAAATACATTTTTAGTGAAAAATTCCGACGAAGAACCAGCTGTGCTTGACAAATGCATTTTTGTCAATTGTTCTACCTAATCTATACATAAACTCGATACACTCATTCAACTTTCCAAGCTATTACCTCCTTTCTTTCACAAAGCTGTTTTTTTCGTTTTTTTTGTTTCTTTTTAAACATATATTTTCAGCGGGCACCCTTTTAATATTATTTGGTACCTTTAAATCTCGCCTCATGCTATTGCAAAAAGGAAGATATCTCTGTTCATACGGTTAGGCTAAAAAGTGCTGCCCTCCGGAGGCTGAGAAAGTTTCATATTTTCCTTCAACGTCATCAAACGACGGAGTTCCTGGAGAACTGTTTTAATTGTGTACTCTCGTTGCCATTTCGCAAGGACCGGAACACTGCGATTATCCACCTTGTATATGGAAATTTTATGTGTTATTTCAGGTACATGTATTTTTTATCTTAATGTACACGCATATTGCGATCTTGTATACTTACAGCTCCAGTAGCACTGTTAATGCAATTCATATTGATTCTGCTTAAAAATCTTACATTAGGGGCATCATCTGGGTATCTCTGACCGCAGTCAATTTTCAAACTATACATCCTATTTTCATACGGTGTCTAAAAGATGTCAGTACAACATTATATTAATCGTATATCGTAAGATATTCTGAATATGTTTCTTTAAGTCATCATCTTTGCAACATATGCAATTAATTCTTATAGAATCATATATTTTTTGTTTTGTCACACAATATTAAATATATTTTCTATATAACACACATAATCAATATTAATATTCAAACTGTATTTTCATATCTTCGATAAGTTATTCATTTTAAGTATCACAAATATATTTTATCCGCAGTTGATACCAGTACAAGAAAAGTTTTAAAAATATGAACATCTAATGCAAGTATCGTCAACGTATAGCTTAGCTTGTATCTGAAATCTCATAAAAGTAGACTTGTATCGAACGAAAAGTAACGTGAGAAGAGACCGGTGCAGATTCGTATTATCGCAGTGACGACAGTAAAAGGTATCTTACCCTAGGTGGTCCAATTATCATACCGGTCCAATGCGTGAGGGTCATGTCGTCGTCGTTTTCCAGGCCCCAACTGATCGTGCCATCGCCCACACCTTTTTGGCCCTGTTCCAACTCCTCCAGGAGACGAAAGTTTCGGGGCATAACTGAAACAGCATTCGATGAATGACGTTGTGACTCCATGTAGGCAATAGGTGCAGTCGATTCATAATTGGCAAGGCTCTAAGTTCAATCGCGATCCCGTATATATAATTTGGTTCATACAAGGTTCAGCAAATATTCATATAAGGTCGATCTAGAAGTTAAAGAGAATTGCTGAGATCTTTGAACCATATAATATATATAATTGTATAATCCGAGTCTAACAAATCCTCAATAAACCCGATGTTGCTTAAGGATCAAAAATCCACAAAAAGAGGAAGAAAAAGGAAAAAAGCAAGGATATATGTCGCGGTACACAGTCGCGTTGTAACAGCTGAAATGTACCCGCGCGACAATACAGGTTATGGCTCGATGAGCAGGGATCGAGCATGGTTAACCTTTCCGCCGTCCCGAGTTTCCGAGGTCATTCACGGGTCTCGAGATGAGTCCGCGGATACCGCGGAAGGGCGATATCGACTCGCGACGGAGGTGTAACGTCGTGTTCACCGTCTCGATGACTCGGCACGCGAGAGAAATACGGGCGGCACGCTCGACGTCCGCTGTCAACTCGCGTGGCACGGGAACGCCGGGTCCGAGGATCGTCGAATGATCCCGCCTCGAGGTCCCCGATTTCTCGATCGAAAGGAAAGAAACGAGGACGAGGAAAATCCGTCGCGGAGTCGCCGCCTAAACAAAATAACTCACCTACACCGCTGTTGGGCACCGCCATGATCTCTCTCGTATTTCTGACAATTCTGACGAGGCGCCGTATTTTTTTCCCCTTCCGTAAAGTACCAGGCGGGCGACAACGCGCACCGTATGCGGGCCGAAGTCACTCACGTGGAGCTGGCGCGGCTTTTTTAACTGCGGCGCGAGCTTCTCATCAGCCGTCGGACGTCAGAGTCGGACGTCGGCAATAATCCGGCGCGCTGCGGCCAAGAGAGCGTGTGTGTGCACTGTGTGCGTGCGGCTGTCCACCCGGATAACGAAAATACAACCTCCGCGCTCCGCGCGAGAGATCGCTCGTTCCCCACGGACTAGTCGCTCTCTAGAAGTCTAGATCCCCCGTGTCCGCCGTCGTCGGTCGTCGCGTTTGTGCTGTTCGTGGGCGAGCCGCTCATCGTCCACCGGATTCGACGGTCCGCGTGAAACGCAAACGCTGTGCTCCGTTCCACTTTCATCGGTTCTGTTTCTACACTTCGTTCGCGTCGCTCTCGCTGCTCGAATCTCGCGATTTTATTTCGCGATTATTAAATATTAAATGCGAGAAAAGATCCGACCCGTAAAATCTGTTCGATCTGTTTATTTTAATCGCGCGCATTTTTCGTTCGATTTGTTTTCTCTTTTTCTTCTTGAAACTTTATGCTGTTTGCAATGTAAAGTGTACGTATAAATGTGCAACTAAGCGAAAATAGATTTACAGAATTTTTTTTAGAATTGAATTGGTGTAATGCTAATTATATAATATATGCCTTCAGAAATTGCCTAGATAGCACAGATGATCGTTATGAACTCAAAAAGGATTTCACGAATCATCTGTGCTATCTGGGTGATTTGTAATTGCATGATTTTTTTTGTTGAGAAAACGTTATTTTTATTGTATATTCGTAGAATTATTCTTCGTACAAGAACCGTAAAGTATTCTTTATATTATCAATAAAAGTTTAGACGAATAGATTCTCGTTTAAATGTGGCGCACGTGTTTATCTGAGATGACGACAGACAGTGCCTCAGCCAACAAATAAGCTGCATTAATAACAAGATAATAGCAATTTGCATAATTTCATCTCTTTTTTTATTCCTCAATGAAGAGCAGAAATTTTATTTTTCAGTCGAAATATTACGTCACATCCGGAATATTACGGCGGAGTCGCAAACGGGAATCGCAACAGCTCACGGCAGCGAACGTCAGCTGATTGGCCGGAGAGAACCTCGACGGCGATTGGCCGAGCGCGCGGCAACGCTGCTCGACAATAGGTGCGCCGCGAGGGGGGTGGCGGCGCGCGGCGCGTATCGGCGCCCCGTTCGTCGCCGGCCGGCCGCGCAAGAGCAGATCGCCGGCGGAGCAGTCGCGAGCGGCGCGAGCGCAGGCGAAGTGGGTCTTCTCTCTCTTCCCCTCCGATAATGAACGGCGCGCGATAGCTGTCACTGTCAGTCCGCGTTCCGTGGGTGCATCTCGTCGAGCGTCGTGTGCGCGCGCGATGCGCCGTGTGGCCGCCGGTTTCGCGCTCGCGGAAGAGACGTGCCGTACAACAGCGAGCGATCGCTAGCTCCTCCTCCCCCCTCGCCCCGGATCGTGTCCCCGCGCGTAGAGAAATCGTCGTGTCCTGGACGCCGGAACGCGCCGTTCGCCGTGGATTACCCGAGGGGTGGCAGGAGCGTGGTGGCGAGACGCAGGAGACACGCGGTGGAGGAGCACCGGAGCAGCGAGGATAACGCGACGAGCGGGTGAGTAGCAGGTTTCATTGTGTTTCATTGTTTCATTCGTGTTTTGATTCGCGGACGTAATGCACGTACGGGAATTATACGTTATCCGTCGTATCGTAGTCGCGACCGCACGAGGAGGCGAGCGGCGGCTCGCCAGCGACCAGCGACTCCGTTTCTCCGAGAGAGACCCGCCACCATAATAAACAAAACGTAAATACGCCATGGACCCCCCCCCCGCTCGGTTCAGTGGCACGAGGTCCGGACGAGTCTCCGGATATTTTGTGTCCCTCATGTCTGCCGGAACTGTTCTCGACGGGCATATAATTCCTGATGAATTTTGGAGTCCCTTGGAGACGACGCGAAGGCGGAGTACGACGAGTACGGTGGTGCTCTCCATTAGGCGACGTCGGCGATCTGTTGTTTTCGATCGCGAACAAGAGAGAGAGAGAGAGAGAGACAGAGAGAGTGAGAGAAAGGAAGAGAGAGAGAGATGCAGAAAGAGCGTCTCGCTTGCATGGGGGCGTTACATTTATACGCGATGGGAGACGTTCCTGACATTGATCGTTGTTACTGTCACGTTATTACCACGCTTGCGAATGATTACGAGAGCGATTAGCTTCGTGGCGGCAAGGTGATAATGGCCATTTTTTGGATATCTTGAATGAGCACTCGTACAACGCACCCCGGGAGATTTCAATGCCTTCGGCATTGTTGTTCGTTTGGTAGATAAGAAGATAAGTCGTTACGTCGACGCTTGTCCCTCGAATAAAGAAACCCCCGGCGATAAATTGTCGAGACGGAGAAAAAAAGCGAGAAGAGACTATTCGGAGTAAATTGAAAATAATTACTTTACGTAAAATAAAATATTTATAGTTAGCAGATTCTTGATTTAGCAATTATTCTAAAAAGAAACCTCCAGTTAAGGCGATAATTATCGAGACAGTGGCGGAGAAAACCGAAAAGACTATTTTGAGAAAATAATTATTTCAAAATAAAATAATTTGTGTTCGTCGAGTACAAAAAAAAACTTCCGCGATAATTATGAAGATAATTATTAAGACGGAGGCGAGGAAAAGCAAAAAAAATTATTCTGAGAAAATTAAAAATTATTTCACGTAAAATAAAATATTTAATTGACGGATTTTTGATTTAGCAATTAAGTATCCGAAAACAAAATCTTTCGGAGTTCTTTTATCAACTTGTATCGAAAATATCTTTTAAATACGACGGCGTCAAAATTCTATTTATTTTAGATCGCTATCGATTGTTATTGCGTGATAACGTCAAGTATTAGCCGTTGATCACGCTTCACGTGATCGTTAAAATTGTAAAGAGCCTATAATCGTCGATTTTGTCGCTTGTATGTCTGACTTATGCGTGCTCGTAACTGTTAGTAACCCGTAAAAAATGACGGGAAGGACCCACCCGGAGCGAGGCTTTGTTTTCCTATCCGAAGGGCGTAACCGACTTAATCGCATCCGAAATCCTTCTGTAGGAAGGATCGTTTTATCCTCTACATTCGTGCCTGAGACTGACACGACTTTCTTTGCGTCAACCATAATTTATGCGCATTCGAACCTGGCCGATTCATTTCACCGGGCACTTAATCGCGTAAATGGAGTGTCGTAAGCGCCGTGTTCGATATCTCCTTAATTTTTCGAGCGACGTCGCGAATCTGCATTTCATACTGCTGAAAAAATATATAAGAAATAAGGTGACATATGATTGAGGTAGAATTGGAATCACATGGAAATAAAAATTTGAAACCTATATTGACAATCGTTAATTCTCTTATTAAATTCATATTGAAAATGTACGAGTATCATCTTCGATACAAATGATTTACTATTCGAAAATTCACTATTTATACTATTTGAGAAACACACTAATTATTTTATTTTACATGAAATAATCATTTTCAATTTTCTCCAACTATTATTCACTATTTGTATTACATCATTATTTCTTATTCGAACAATAAAGTATTTTTTTAAATTTGATGTAATATCCGCGATTTATTTTTTTATTACTGACCAGACTTTCGTCGATACCGAGCCACTTTTATTTCCTAACGCGCCATCCCGCGATAATTCATTCGTTGTTGACAAATAAAGCCCGACAGAACTGAAACTGCCAGCGGACTCTGACAATGAGTAACCTAATCGGCCCTTTAGATGCACGGGCGAGAATTGAATGTAACGAGGCGCTCGATCGAGGCCGGCTTAAATGCAGGTCTGATTTAAGTTTAACCATGGAGCCCTTACGGTCGATTGGCCGACCGCGTGCGCGGCCAACCTCGGCTTAACCTTTAAATCACGTTGGCGGCGAGCTCTCGCTTCCATCGGAAATTGCACGCGTCACCGTGCATCCTTGCGGGATAAATATCGCATGCGAGAGAGAGAGGGAGAGAGAGAGAGAGAGAGAGAGAGAGAGAGAGAGAGAGAGAGAGAGAGAGGTTCGGTGAGAGATTGGTGACCGCGAATTGGCCGCGAGCCTGATAGAAGCTGCATTTCACACGGAACCGTGGAGTAACTTCCTTAACACGTTAAACGCCGCACAAACTTCTCGATCTTAATCTCAAACGACCTTCAATTAACTGGATACAATTAATCTTTATTAATTGAATTTGATTAACTTCACGAAAGTCCGTCTAAAAGATCGCAGGTCCGATATATGCAATTTGCACTTATCTCTCTTTTTTTAATTGGCTTTCTATTATACGTTCTAGATTCTAACTTCTTACGTATATCGGCTATATATTTGTATAATGTACGAGATTTATATTTTTATACGAGATTTATACGTTCAGATATGTCGATAATTTTAATATATGTGAGATTTTGTACATTGATGTTCTTTGTCATGCAGAATTATGTGCTATTTGCGATATGGAGCATTATCTGCAATCATTTTTCCTTACGGAGAGAGAGAGAAATACCCTTTTTTCTTAATTCTTTATTCTATTTAGAGTCATAACCGCGGGAATGGCAATGGTAATCGTTGTCGCGAGTTTTTTGTTATAATCGCACGGTATAATATTTGTACACCCAGCGTTCTTTTTATACGAGTGCTCCTCCATACATATATTGGATCTCTTTTTCTCCTCTTTTCGATATGAGCTTTATTTTTTTTCCCCGTGAACGCGTACATGATCGTTTTGGTGAGCGCACTTGGCGTGTGTTGCCGTAACAGTTGAATGGCTATTCCAATATTTTACACCACATATTGTTCGTTATTATAGATGCTTAAAGGCGTCATAAATAACGCCTTGCAAATCATGCGCGGCTGAAATATTTTTCTAGAAAATATTCTTGATTCTCTCTCTCTCTCTCTCTCTTTCTCTGCGCACACAAATCAAATATTATTCAATGATGAAATGGCGAAAATCTACTTTGCTCCTCAGTCAATTCGTGTCGCGCGTTCCGTGGCGGATGCTAATTACACCATGCTCAGCGGGTGTCTAAAACGAAACATTGGTATTGGGTAGCAAGATCATATTTATCTCTCGGCGCTGTTTGCACAGCGGTAAATCGACTTCGCGCCGATTCGTTACCGGCTTTTTCATCATTATTACGCACGGCGATCGGCATGCCGCATTACCGCTCGTGAGCTTTCACCGCGCACCCGCGCACATCTCGTCGCGCAACGCGAGCGTGTTATCGTTTCGTATCGGATATCATTGTACCGCGGGGAACATTAATCAGAGGGTTGCGCGATGCAGAGATAAATTCGTTTCGTGCTTCGAGACCGCTCGCGCGCGCGCGCGCGGCAATGAAAAGGGAAAGGATTAAACGAAACGTCGCGCGTTTGCGATTTGCATTTATGCAATTCCTAAATTTTTCGAAAAATTCCTTTGTGTGGGAAATCGTGTGCACGATGAATAGCATGGCAATGTTTAAAAACATTACTCGCAAATTACACCCCATATTTTACTAGAGTCAGGTTGAAAATGTTGTACATTGTAGAACGTTATACAGAATTTATGATAGGTTACTTATACAGTGTTTGCGCAAAGGAAATTTTTTTATTATTTTTAATTATAAACGGATATCCTTTTTATACATTTCAAGCACTTATTTTATATTAGGTTACAATATCTGAAAACAGATGCATTTCCCGTGTAATTAAAAACTTTAATTCCAGCAATATATTTATGTAAGTACATGTGGAAATATCAGCATTTAGTGCGGCTTCTAATTTTTTGAAATTTAATTACTGCGATATGATGGCTATTTATTTTTAGGTAAATTGAACTTCCTCGACCGTGTAATTGTATGTGAAAACGTGAATCTCTCTCCTCGTATAGAGTGACGGTTTGAAATGAAATACACCGAAACAGCTGCTCGCTGACGCGTGAATGGCCGCCTTATAAACCTGACGTTTTATGGAAGCGAGGTTTTATTTACGCCCAACGACGGAAAATGAAATACTTCTTCTCGCGTCGCGTCTTTCACTTGCACTTTCATTACCACGCCTGGCGAGAATGGGCAAATTTGCGGTTACCGTATATCGCGCACACCACACAGTCGTGCATTTTATACGAATGCGCAAAGTTACAATAAATCGTGTTACAGTTCTAGCTATTCGACCACGGATTATTATCTGGCGATTTTTATCTTGGCCTACGTTATTGTTCACCGTTATACACGCGACTTGACGCCACATCGGCGTCGTTTACTTTACGGTATCCGAGACCCGCTATTGCGAAAAATCCCTGTTGCCTGTGTACAGTGCTTCCTTCAGTCTTTTTTCTCGTATTCTCCTATTCTAAATTTTATTTATTTTCTGCGTTTCTCTCACTTTATATTTATAATTTGTAATCCATGTATCTACTGTACAATTATTTTGCGTGACTGTTACTCGTAATGCAGTCTTTTTTATGCTCTTAATCAGTCTGGTTGAGAAAAGATTCTAATCGTAGATCATAAATATTCTAATTTATTCATCTGTGATTCACATAGCTATTAATTGGGGAAGTTTAGTGGCCTACTTAGCGAAAACGCGGAACATTTAGCTTCTTTAGGGACCACCCGGACCACGGAGTCCTATGTTGAAAGCCCTCGATCTAGCGCATACATAATTCCAGGAATATATATCGCAGTCGCTTCGTGATTTGTTTGGTATCTCGCGACAGTCGACTCGTCCGTGCGATTAACTCGCAGACGAGTTATTTTTTTTTTTTGCAAACCGGCGGGGAATTCCGCGTGCCATTCGCGTGTCGCAATTTTTAGACGGAAACCTTTATCGGAGGAAGAAAGGAGTATCCTGTGGGCGCGCGCGCGTGCGTGCTTGCGCCCAAGTTTCCTGTGATAATCTCGATGCCAACTATGGGGACAGCGCGTGCCACTCAATGATTAAAAATTAAACGCGAAACTTTAAAAATGGAGGGATATTTAAAAAAGAAATTTTTACGAGTAGAACTGACTCATGGCTTCAAGCTTCAACGCACGATTAATTCGACATAAATATATTATATAAATTTGAATATAAATAAACTATAAATAAAAATATATATATATATATATATATATATATATATGTATGTATATATAGTCACGACACGAATTTCCCAACTCTATTACAACTGTCTCTTCGTTTCCATGGATTTCAGAATGTAACTCACGCATCCGTTGATTGCTTTGCAGTATTTTGCAAAGACGTTCAGTGTATCACAATACGTGTATCACAAAGGTTTAAACGTTCCAAACCTTCTCGAGGTACGAAAATCTTTCGTCGTCTATGAGATAACAATGACTTAGATCCAATTCTAAGAAAAATTTATAATAATTATGCAATTTACTCATAATCTTGATAATTATATAAACATATACATTGCAATGAATGTAAGTTAGCTTGAATTTATATACATTTCTTTTTTAATCATAGAAAATATTGTTGTAACAACCGTAGCAATTTTCTCCGTGTATAAGGTATCTATTTTTAAAAATATTAATTTTTACTAAAATTAACTTCTTAACTTTTTTATTAACAAATTGTACTTTTATAATGGAATGTTATGTACAATAATTTAGTATTTTAAATTAATCGAAACTTTTTTTACACGAAATTTACATAAAATAAGATATATATATTTTTTGTTTGTTCAAAATATTTGTTTTCCAGAAATTATAAGCAATACAATTTTCGAAAAATAAAAAACACGTTTAGTTTAAAATTTAATGTCTTTGGTCATACTTGTCGTAGAAAAATCTTCGAAAAGGCATTTTAAAGCTAAGGAAACGGTCTTTTTATAAAAATATTTTAAGTTACAAGAAATTGCAAAATTCAATTGTTATAAGCAATTGAAATGTTTATTAATTTTCACCAAAAAGTACATTTCTTTTATTTTTTAAAATAATGCTATTTTATTTTTTATTTTATTCTAAAAGTACATATTTTTTATTCTATGGAGAAACAATGAATTCTACTTTTTATGTATTTTTAATGACAGGCGCCGGCGCCGCGCCATGTTCGTGTCTCTAGCTCGACTAAGTAGCACGGCACGTCAATTTCTTCATAAATCTCTTGTAGGAAGAATGTTCAGTATGAATGGGATATAATGTTGAATATAATCAATATACAGATTTTGTAGCATTTTAAATGCTACAGACAAATATCTTAAATAATATGGAACATATATACGGAAAAACATTTTAGACAAAAGTTGTAGGATATCAATAAGGACAAATAATGGTAAAACCAATTTTCGAAAATACAGATGAATTATATAATCGCACTAAATGCTTTGCTACGATCGCAAGGTTGAGTATTTAAATTAAATTAAATGTACAAAAATTATAGTGTAATTTTTTAGAGGAAATGACAGACAAATTCTGCCAATATTCATAGTAGTTTTTATGAGTTTAGTTTCAGAACAGTATAAAAATAAATTTTACAACAAATTTTACAGAAAGTTTTAGAAACTGTTATATTTTAGTAACTGTGGCTAGAAAAAGTATCACAGGAGGTATATTTCTAAACGAATTCTTGAAAGAGACTATACGGTTGCGGAAAGAAATATCAAGAATTTACTGACAATGTTACTATGTAGCTTTTTTGCAGTGTTTTGCCGGACAATTATTTCAAATAAAGGAATGACACTATCGCCCGAAGAAAGTCAAATTATGAAAAAGAAAGAAAAAAAAATTGTTTAAAAATAACAAAATTATAAATAAATATAAATGTTTTGTTTTTATTAGACATTAACTTTTTTTACAACCTAATTTACCAGATAATTTTTACAAAGTAAGTTTGTAAGTATAAAAAATTAAAAAGTAAACGTAACTAAAAACTAAATTAATATGTCCTAAACTAGTAAACAAAAACTATTCAAATTATCCGTCGTATGTATAGACGGACACATACGGATATCTCTTTTTCCACTGATTAACCAATTGATCGCTTATGTCACAGTGTATGAAACAAAACTCTTGCAGTTTAGGACATTGTTCAAAAATAACGGAATATTTATCAGGTGTCTGACATTTCACAAGATCAAAAAATAACTTTTTCAAGTTTTTGCACTGTGCTAGTAATTTTAACCGGTGATCAGTGAGGACAGCAAATAAAATATAAACTTCTTGCAAGTTTTGATAAGAGGAAAGTAATTTAAATAAGCTATCGTCAGTAACTGAATAATCGAATCTGTAACAAAAATTATATAATTAGTACAGTACTTTAATCGCAAAAAGGAAATTTGTGTAATTTTTTTCAAAATGCACGCAAGAGAAGCAAACAAATTTCAATAAAGAATACAATAACATGTATTTTAAAAGAAAATGTAGCACACATACTTACTCCGCAAAAACAAGATGCATTTTTCGTAAATTCTTACAGTTAGCGAGGGCACTAATACCATGAGGTGTAAGATAACGTGGATGCAGTAAACGTATTACTTCCAAATCACGACACGAATTTCCCAACTCTAATACAACTGCTTCTTCGTTTATAACCATACCGGAACTTAACTCACGCATCCGTTGATTTTTTTGCAGTATTTTGCAAAGTTGTTGAGCTTTTATACGTGTACCACAAAGGTTTAAACGTTCCAAACTTTCCAGCTTCTCGAGGTACGAAAATCCTTCGTCGTCTATGAGTTCACAAGAACTTAGATTCAATTCTAAGAAAAATTTGTATTAGATATGTGCAATTTACCCATAATCTTGATAATTATATACTATATGCATATATACATACCTTTCAAATTTTTGCATATTTCTAAAATTTTAAGTAGGATTTAAATCGACATTGCAGTAACTTAATTTTAAGTGCGTTAAATTTTTGCCGCAATTATCAAGAAAGTTTACGAAATCATTAACAGCAAAGTTGCTTCCTGTAAGATCCAATTGTCGCAAATATTTACATCTAGATGTAAAGTAACAAAATATATCGCGCATATATGTGTGAGATTTAACGCATCGTATGTTCAAACGCACATAGAGACGAGGGTCCTGTATTAAATTATTGAAGCGTTCATCTACATAACTCATGCAGCATAACGTCGTCAGATCTAAGTAGTTTAATATTTTTAGTAGTATTTCATACTGCAAAGATAAAATATATAATTTTAATACTCGAGATGACATTACAATAAATATTATGATGAGAAATAGATGACTTATAATACTTTACCGGAAGCGCCAATAAATTGCAACGTGATAGGTCCTTGGATTCATCCGAAGAGAGTTTCATACGCTTTGCATAATTTGAAGGACTTTTTAATAAAATACGACGCAAATATCTCCATCCAAGAGGTTGCTCATAACAATGGATTACTTCCTGAGATATTTTTTGCTTCAAATTACTCTTATAAGAAATCCTTCTTATATCGCTGCAAATATTATCGGAACAAATTAATTTTGTATTATTAACAGAAAACACATTAAATATTACTTAAAGTCGACGATAATAATACCTTTTATAAATAATACAATATTCGGGAAAATTCTGTTGCAGATGAACTATATCAAAGTGTGCACTTTTTAAATCTGCTGTTAAATTATGAGCATCGTCATGCTGGTATGGAGAGTACATGCTGTTAATTCTTTTTAACAGATTAGTTAAATTCTCGTTAGGATTTCTAGAAAGGATCAATTCTGATGTACCGATGAGCATCACCGCATCTAGCTCTGTGTAAGAGAAACGTGAACTGTTTTTAAATGTTAGTCTGAGCATTTTGGTTTTAAAGTTACACTGATGCGACAAGGGTGGAGAAAATAATCTTGATTTTGGGGGTACAATCTGAGACGATTCATCCCACAACTGAATCCAGTGATTATTGGAATCTTGAGCCGAAATTTGAATTACGTTTCCAGGATGATGTATTTCGTAAATACAGACTCTGATTGGATACACAGCTTCATGAAACTCGATATCTTCAAAATAAAAAATATATAATTATACTCTCTTCTCAACAAAAAACATAACTTCTTTAACAATATCTCATAATTCAAATATTACATACACATATAATTATTTTCCTCCGTCTGATTCCATTGCCAAATAGACTCAGCCCCATCACAAATATCTTTGTTTTGCCATGGAGATATCGAAATATCGATACGGCTATAGTATCTCTGAAAAGTCAAAAAGTATCAAATATTACAAACTTTTGTAAGTTTGAATTGCGATTATTTTACGGGACAATAATGTTTAATACCAGGAAATATACATACCAACATGTTTTCATAAAGAAATGGTAAATGAAATAGTTCTCCATAGTTTTGAAATTTGGGTGGTCCAATTATGTCAGGGGCAGTGTGATATATGCTAATATTCTGATGGTTCTTGGAAACAAATCTCTTCTTCGCAAATTGATAGATGAAGTCAACATTACCCTCCTCTCCTACGGATACTCTGCCGACATAGGGATATCGACTACAACTCTCGTAATATAAAGGTTGATAATGGGATGTCATATTTTCTCTGAAAAAAGACGAAAAATACGGAGAATAATAATCATTGCTTTTGTAGTATATGCTAAAATGCATTGTATATCATGTATTTATAATTATAGCGGTAAGATTACATAATTATATAGATTAGATTATATAAATTTATCCTGTTTCCATTCACATGGCTAGTACTGACATTATTATTACATAGTGTCTGCATGTATATTATTATTAAATATTAAATAATTAATTATTTTAAAGAACATTTTTTTAATACAAAAAAATGTTTTTTATATAAATCTGAGATATCGCGAGCTCTGTGTTCTTCTATCACCACGCGTGTACCACGTGTATCACGTGTACCACGTGTACAAGCACAAAGGAAAAAACCAAAAAATTACAAAATTTATATATTGCTCAAATTCGCCACAATTATAGGTACGCTTAATTTCTAAATATAATTAAGGTCCATTCCACAATAGCCGTATATAATAGTAGATGTAAAACGTGAGCATTGTAAGCAGTAAGCTATTGACTAATAAAATTTTAACAATTCAAGAATAATCGACTGTATTTGGTCAATTATTACTGCTTACGTTTTACCGCATACTCTTACAGCTATTGTAGAGCGGGCTTAAGATTTTCCGAAATTTATTATTTATCTTACTTTAAAAAAATGTATCTTCTATTTCATTTTCCGATACACGTTGTAGTGTGTCCCACCACGTGGGAGAAGAATATACGGCATATACGCATGCACGAGTACCAAAGAATAAAGAGAATTACCGAAAATTTAACTTGGAACTAAATCAAGATATTAATCAGAATAACTAATTTCTATCAATTTTCATACTTACTGTTTATCAGCAAGGCAGATTTAATTTTTTCGTATAAATTAAAAAAAATCACGAAAGAGATGAAATGTTGGAACACGTGATGGTTAGTGAGCGCACACCACTTTTGTGTAGGTCCAGATCTATATTATATTCTAGACTACCAACTTTCACAAAATACATACATAGATTTGGAAAGTGTTACGTCCGAACCCTAGGATTATTTGAAAACTAATATTAAGCCTTGTGTCCACGATCCTAGAAATCGCTCCGAGACAGAGAAAGAATTAACCAATCGCAATGGTCAATTGTCGAATTGTTGAAATGTGATTGGTCAATTTTTTCTCCGTCCAAGATCTCGGAGCGATTTCTAGTATCGTGGACACAAGGCTTTACGTCCGAACCCTTGGATTCAGGTAAATTACTGCAAAGCAAAGGAAAGACTGCCTAGAGAGTGGGGATATGGAAGGACGCAAACAGATAGGTACATATACCGTTTTCTACCGGGAGAACTAGGTACCCAGACAACATATAACACTAAAAGATGACGAAAACGATGTCTTTCTTAAGTTATCTTTTTGACACAGCTAAAAGATACGTGAAAGACATCCTTTATTCTTATTGAAAAAATTGTCATAAAAAAGATATCATTTCGTTATCTTTTTTATAATGTCTTTCAATACAAACAATAGATTCAATAAAAACATTTTTCCGGCTAATCAAAATTAGTTATTATTTTATATTATTATATTATATTTACATTAAACATCAAAATGTCGGTCAAAAAAGTAAAAACTGTTTTACTCAATTTTATTGTGTCGCAAGATAATCCGTAGACCGTTAATAAATCACTGGCTGCGTTTATCCTTAAGATTTCTCTGTCTTTCTCTTTCTCTAATATTTATCTCTAATTTCTCTTATCTACGCAGAAATGATTAATGACACATTTGTCGTTGCTCTGATTAAAATTCGAAAAATTATATTCGCATCGTTATACAGATTAAATTGATTGATTATTCTATTTGATAGCGTTCGTAATCAGGGTATTCGTAATCAGGATAATATGCGCTAATGGAATCTCAAATAGATACTGCAAAATGTGCACAATGTCACGGAATCATCTGTTGAATACGTAAGTAACAACTATTTCAGTCAACTTTCCTGAATTAAATATTTTTTTCGTTTACTTACGTGATCTTTTAGTTATGCTTAGCGAGAGAGTCGCGATTCTTGCGTGAAAAATGAAGTACGCGAGCGTAGATTGTCGCGCCAAGTTTTTCTTTTCTTTCGAATTTTTCTCGTCGTTTAAAATCGCGGAAAATCACGGTTTGTTGAATGGCACGACGTGCGGTATGCGGGATTAAGGTTTTTCTTGACGATTCTCCTTCACGAGTTCAGACTCCGTCAAAAGTCCGCAGTCGTTTCTACATTCCGGAAGACGGAGAGATTCGAGACCCCGCTTGGCCAGCCACTTTTATCGCTTCTGCTTGAATATAGGTGTTGTTCTTTACTTTTTTTCTTATGTTCCTTGTCGAGACGCGGTGACGCCAACGAGAGAATTCTCACGAGAAAATCTCACATAAGTACCACTGCCAGTGCTCTTCTTTCTCATAGAACAAAATTAGTTCTTATTGCACATCGGAGAATTCGGATGACGAAAGAGTAAGCCCTTTAAAAAATTTCGGCGGAAAGAGACGTGTGTGACGGAACAGCGTGTGTGCAGCGGTATCACTTGTTTAAAATCACAAAACTGTAGAAAACCAAACATGACGAAAATAGATTAATTATGATTAAAAGAATTTACTTAGGACTATAATTATTATGAATATAGTAATGCAATAAATTAATGTGTATAATTAATAGAGAAATTACTATGAAAATTAAGTAAATTAAGTAATTATGATATCAAGATAAGTATATCAATTTTTTAGTTAACCATTTATCTTCCGCAGTCTTATTTGATAATTTGTTCTTTCAAGAAGAGTAGAAATAATTGACGCGACACTTTTCCAGAAATATAACGAATTACCGTGATAGGAATGTTTTTGTTTTTAATATATATAGAGTAGCCAAATTTCAAGATACTTTTATTTTATATAGAAAAGATATTTTTGACCATTAAAAAGATTAAAGAAGATAGCTGTTGAGTCTTGTTTATTGATTTCAAAGCAGGGGCTTCGACGATGCGGGTATATAGTGTTTGAATATATTCGGGTATACACGTAAAAGCGTATACATATAGGGGAGTGCTTCGTCCTGGTCAATTCTGCAACTCTAGAAGTGGGGAATGATTCTATCTGGTTTGCCGGCGAACTCGTGGCGCCCGCGCCATGATATCTGTATACTATACGCGCTCGTCCGTCCCCTCGTTAATGATTCAGCGCTAATGCTAACACATTCGATCAGCTCCGACGTGGAAATCGTGCGCACAGTCACGTCAGGAGCACGACTAAACGCCGAGGCTTTTATTTCGCGATCAGCATGAATATTAACCCGGTAAACTGCAGGTAATTCCATTTTGTTCATTGTTTTAGTTGCTTTAAACAACTCAGTGACCTGAAACGGACGTCGTCACGCGATATGTTGTACCGATCTTAATCCCAAAACCTTTTTCAGTGATTAATGAACATAAATTTTGGTAATTTTATCATTTTCCGCATTTAGAGCTTTAAAAATTATTTAAATAATTGTAGTTATTAATAATAGTATAACCAGTATCATAAAGATAATTAATGATTTATTTTTCTTGGTCAGTCATATAAATACCGGCTTAGCTTTCGATTCTAGATAAAATATCTTATATAAATAATACACGTTTTAAAAATATATAAATTTAAAATACAATAAATACTTACGTTTCTTTTCAAAGGGCTAGTCTTGAGAGAGATTTTGTTACGTAAATTTACTTTACGTAACACACTTTTCTGCATTATAAAAGAATGATAGAAAGCGAAGATCTACAACGTTATCTGAAAAGGGTATCCCTCTGCGGATACCCTTCGCCTGCTCCCATCTTAAACGACGTTGAAAGCCTTGTGATCTTATTTCGGCTGTACAACTTCAAAGTAGTTAATGACCCAATTTGACGAATACTCCATGGCATTGTCGCGTAGTCCATTACTTTAAGAAACATAGTATTATTTTCTTTGTGTTTATATATACACGTTTTTTAAATATATATATTAACAACAGATATAACAAGGAAACGATAAAGATTATTTATTCGACTTATGTGTGACCATCTTTATTAATTATATAATTGTTACGACGTTTCGATGGATTTTGGTCCTAATTCTTAATTGATGTAAATTTTGATGTTAATATAAGCATTCTTTTTTAAAATCACTGCAAAGAATTTATTGCGAAAAATATCACTCCAGCCAGAGTTCGAACCCTCTTTATATATTTTTTTGTAATAAATTCTTTATTGTAATTTTAAAAAAGAATACTTATTAGTATCAAAAGTTACGCATCGATTTAGAAAGACCAAAACCCATAGTCGAAATGTCATGATGATTATAATTAATGGCCAGTTGAGTCGAATAAATAATCTTTATTGTTAATTATTTATTGGCGAAGTAAAAGTTTCTGTTTTGGTATAACAAGGAAAATTGTGAGTAACTAAATTTTCAAATTAATATACACAGAAGCGAGCATAAATCTCGATAACTGTTTCAATAGATTAAAAGGAAAATTAATTGCATTAATCTCGAACAGTCACGTGTGTCGGTGTGTACACAGCAAATGTATTCGTATTCCAAGAAATATATATCGTGATGACCTAGTTGCGCAGCACACAGACACACATACACACATAATCAAAGACGTCACTTCGCGTGGAATGGCTTTGTTTATCGAATTAGTTCGAACGTTACATAAGTTTAAGTATTAAGATAAATAATCTCTGCAACAATGTGCTTTTCCACCCGGCGACTAAACTAACTCTGCATCGTAACAGCACGATATTCATCTCGAGTCACATTTTGGAGAGAAGATTGCATCTTTTATTTCCAACATATTATAACACACGATATCAACTATTACGAAAGCGCGCGTGTATTAAATTCTACCTGTTAATTTCCCTCTACTATCATTTACGACTAGAATATGGCGGAAATTTAGTTCCGCCCTCGCACCTTGGTGCACCACGGGGAGACGCGCGGAGCCTATAGGCCGAGGTATCTCTCTTTC